ATAATATACTGGGTGGTTATGATGTCCCGTGGAGTGCCGTAGTGACCAAAGTAGACTGGGTTGGATCGCCAAACTTGCAGGGTGCACAGATGATGACATGGAAAGGCCATTTCCATGATGAAAGTGGAGATGGCGCCACCATCATCATCATGGTGCCAGCACCATCACCATTATTAGCAGCAAGCCATCATCGACACCATCACGATGCAGGAAGCCCCTCCCCCATATCGACCTACCGGAAGCAACTGCTGCCGGACTCGTTTGGCGAGGAATGTGTCATAAGCAGGCATTTCCCGCGCAGCTGGCCCCTGCGATCTCCGGACTTGTGATCTCGGGTGACTTGCGTCGAATCCGTTTGGCTTAAAATTAATCTCATCTCACAATGGCTCTATGGGAATCCGTTTGACGGAGACGATCTCATTCCCATAGACGCCCATCACGAAACGATATCAGTTTAAAGTTTAACGGATCTGGTGCGTGTCACCCTTTAACCCCATGGAATATCGATCGTGGGGATACCCGAAGACGCGCGTGTACCAGGCAAGGCCGACAACGCTTGCGATGTCGAAGGACGCAATTCGACAGGACGTGAACGGTATCCCACCGCAGATGCTGCCTGATGCAGTGAACAACATCGTCGCACGCCTCGACGTTGTCATCGAGCAAGGAGGGAGGCACACGAAGCAAGGAGGGAGGCTCACGAAGCATTTTCGGCAGGCAAAATATTTCGATAGATGATGCCACTAGGCCGTCCTAGTCGCCACTAGGTGGTCCTAGTGGTGTCAAATATCGAAATCGTTTTATGGAAATGGCCTTCCTATGTTGATACATGTGCATCCTGCAGGTTTGGTGATCCAACATCATTTACTTTGATCACTACAGCACTGTAAAGACCCCACTGGACTTTGTGACCACCCTGTATACAATATAGAAAATTTTGACTGACGCTGATTTTAACCATGCTCTAGACATGTTAGAAAGCTCCTTTTTGGGAGCGTCGTTGAGGAAAAAATTGGCCAAATTTTTTTTCCGCACCATTGGAGAGGGTCAAATAAAGTCAGCTGAAAGTTGAAGTTGGCACATAAATAGTTGTAATGGTACCAATTTCATGAAAAATCTAACTCTTGGGAAACATTTTCTGAAAGGCAAACAAACTACAAATGAAATTCTCAATGCTAGTTGACAGGGACGAGAGAATCTCGGATCGGTATCCGGTCAATCCGATGAATCTCCGTCAGGAAAAGCCTCATCGCAAAAGCGGAGAGAAATTTTTCATTTTTGGATTGAGCTATTTCTCCTTCCTCTCCGTTGGAACGGAGTCAGCGCCGCTTCAACGGAATTCCCGGCGGAAACAATGCTCGATGGAAACGATGCCTCATTGCTCCCGTTCGCGTCGTTCAGCCGGGAATTCCTCTCCATTGAACCACAACTACTTCGGAATGAAAGAAAATATTCCGGAAGAAACAAAAAAAAAAGAGTAATCGACTTGATCTGATGCCATCGTCGACGTCTCTCGGGGTCTTCGGGCACGATCGCCAGGTCGATTCGTCATAGTCATGATTTTGCGCAACATCAATCGACCGTCGATGCTCGGTCGGAAAGTCGAAGCCTTCTATTCCTTTGGGGCTCTTGAAAGCCAAGCCGTTGGGGATGGAAATTGAGGGTGAACGTTTTTTTTTTTCCTGACGAAATAATCCGACCTCGACGCGATCGTCAACTCCCATAGAATTTGTTTGTTTCCCCCCCCCCCTTCTATTTGGAAAATTGCCTGCCTTTCATTTATTTTTCTGTATTCCGTGCGAGCCCTTTACGTTTCAGGGGTTTTATATTTTTGATATCATAATCTCCTCCTTTTTTTTCCAAAGGGAGAGGCGCTTATCTGAATCTGCTGGGAAAGACGGAGAGGGAAAAAGTTGTTTCTTCCGATGACGAAGACGATATCGAACGAGAAATGGCCTCGGCCCTCAACAGGTTAGCGCCAATTATTTTTTTTTATAATTCCGGGGATGAGTTTTCCCTCGAAGTCACTGATGACAATTATGGGAATTGCGACAGACGAACCGTGACGTCGGTCCTATCCAAGGCGATGGACTCCGACCCGGAAGACGACGACGGTCGATCGACGGCTAACCGGAAAGACGGTCGATCGTCGGCCGTGAAGACCCCACAGGCCGACGACGACTTCTTTTGAGCGGATCGCCATGCTTCTTATGATTCTTCTAGTCGTGCTTGAATAACAAAATCGTGTTTCCTCTGACCTCCAGCGTGACTCTTTATAAATACGGCGTCAATAAAGTTTCGGATTCATTAATCCGAAATCATTAATGTTATGTGGATAATTATCAAGTTCCCTCAACATGGATCCTGTGAATCCTTTGGGGGAACGTGATTATTCAACTGCGTAGGAGTGCTCCATATAGCGAGACGAAGGAAATATGCTAAATTAATGAGGGGTTCCCGCCTGAAGGGATCTCTCGCGAAGGAGAGCGGAAATATGCGAAATTGTTTTTATTCTCCTACTCCTGACAAACAGGCGACCCAGTCGGAAAAAAAAGTCTCATCACCTCGGACACCCCAAGCGATACAGTTGACGATGACAGAACGTCACACAGAAGGAATGTAGGAAAACCGTCTAGGTAGGACTGATTTCGTCGTCCGAGTCGGCCCCCGAGTCGACCCCCGGTTCCGGGTCGCCGACGGGCAGGGCCTTGCAGAGGGGCCGAGAGGCGCAAGAGGAGCTTCGTAGGGGATGCGGGGATCCCCTCGACGTCCGGCTGCCCCCGCTGCTGCTCTCGCTGCAGCTCCCGACGGCCCGCAGTCGCTGCTCCTCGGCAGAGCCGGTGACCGTGCTCGCGGTGACGATCTTGGCTCCGTTCACCTCCACGAAGATGGTCATGTTGGAGGTCGTGCTCATCCCGCCCCTGCACCCTCCGCCCTGTCGCGTGATCACGTTCGTTCGGCGCAGGGAGTTGGTGGCCGTCGCGTTGGGGGTGCTTCGCTTGTCGTCGGCGCGTCTGTTTCTGCAGCGCCCGAGCCATCCGCCGCCTCCGCACCTGTCGGCGAGAGGTACACGCGATTGGAAGGTAGATGCCGACAGAAAGTGATGCGCTCCAGAGAAATAACTTGGTGGCGGAAAGAATGAATAAATTAATAATAATCTTTTAAAAGTATATGGATGAGCTTAATCGAAGGTATAAGACAGATTTCCTCTCGAAACTATTGCAAGTTTCGCAGACAATTATAAAATTCGAGTCGAAACCGCATACAACGCTCAACAAATTTTTTTCTCGTCCTTTTCATAGATCTATTGCAGGTGTAGCCTGGAAATGCTGGGAGAGTCTGATTCATTTTTTATTCTCAGATTATTTACTGTAATCGGAGAGCAGGATCGCTCTGCTTACATCGTCTGGCTCCCCCGCCTATCCAAGAAATACGAGATCCTGTCGAGCTGCAGGGAAATAGAACTGGGAATTTTTGACAGGAAAAGGAAATGCTCAAACCAAAGGAAAAGGCAGAACGAAAAATCTGCATTCTCGCTGCATTCAAGAGAACTTCCAGTCGTACACCATCTCTTTTATGAAGATATAAATTCGGCAAGTGATACGAATTGGAGTTTTCTCCTTGCCAACCCTCATACCTGCGCAGAAGGGCGTAGAGATCGCTGCGGTACTGTTTCGTCACGATGGCGTACATGTACGGGTTGGCCGTGGCGTTGATGGGGTAGAAGAAGACCAGCAGGACCTTCGCGTGCGACACGGAGAGCAGGGGCTTCCCCATCAGGGCCGTGAGACCGAAGAAGGCGATGGGGGCCCAGCAGAGGAAGTCCGTGAAGACGAGCAGGCTCATTCGCTTAGCGATCTGGAGGTCGTTGCGGGTGCTCTGGGTCGCGGGGGCGCGGTTCCCGCCCGAGCGGGCCGCGCGGATCGTCGCGTACATCTTGGCGTAGCAGAAGCAGATGAAGATGAAAGCGGAGCCGTTGAAGATGAGGAGGGTGAGGAGGTAGATCTGCCCGGCCAGCGTCCCCGTCTCCATCGGCAGGCAGATGCTGAAAGAAACCGGAGATCGTTACCGTCGGATGTCGCCTGCAGCGGATTGGGAAGGATATGAGCCACTCTGGCAAAAGTAAACTATTTGATATAAAAAGGGTATTTCGTGGCGACTTCATTCTCTTTCGCGCTAAACCTTACGTAGTCCACAAGCACAGCTGGGTGCATTCTGTGGGGGGATGTGGGGAGGGGGGGGGGGGGGGGGGGGGGGGGGGGG